TGGAAAATATATACTATTTTAATAGAGATTCTATCCTTGGGTTTCACCCACGTGACCAATACCTTAGCAACGGTTAATATCCGCCATCTTGGTGTCCCTCGAGCGTAAACAAACCGTATCTAACGAAGAGTTCATGTGAGAAAGAAGGGATGGTTTTATGCATTATTGTTGGCTGTTCGAGCAAAAGTGGAAAGCATAAAGACTAAGGATTTTTTCGTATAATAATTTAATAATTTTATTATCTCTATAGCGCAAAATTCATTATATATATGATCTAATGCGCTATACCTAAGATCATCACAAATCAAGGGGAAGAACAGGAGGAACTAGAAGTTGTTGTATGGTTCGAGGCTTGCGGCTGTTGTAGATCCTCGATTTTTTGGTCGAGCTTTTCTTTGAGCTTCTTAGCCGATGAGAAATCGATGTCTTTAGCCCTCGCATACGGCACTTCATTGACCTATGTCGGCAAAATCCATGAGCATTTTACCTGAGTGCAAGTAAGCTTGGGGTGTCACGAAAACTCACACCCCGAAAACTCAGACCTCAGACCTCAGACCCCGAAAACTCAGACTCCTCGAAAATTCAAGAGATAAACTCGACTCATGATCACTCCTGGTAATCCCGCGTGTATTTTGACCTTTTGGGTCTTGATCCAACTGAAGCAGCAAAAGCAAGGCCGCAAGTTGCACGTTTCGCAAAATCGTCCGATGGTTGAGTATTAAAACATTTTAGAGTGACACAAGACTTCATTTAGCTTAGATTTCCTCCATTTTTCCCGTTAATTTTGAACTTTTCATTCACAGTTAACGGGATCAAATGCGCTCGCTCCAACACCAAAGTATTAAAATGTGGCGTGATTTTGACGAGCCGAAAGGGACGTTTGTTTACCTTTTTGTACTTCGTCGCACAGATCCTTGTTGTCGCTCTGTTAAAATTCTTAAATATTTCGCGATAATAATGGATACAAACAGAGACTCGGCCCACCAGTCCCAAAACGAAGACAATTTTGCGACCCTTGGGCTAGAGTTCTTAAATGAGGCAGAAAGAGAAAAACAACGCGAAAGAAGACTCGGCATCAGCGCCGTCACGATTCGCCTCACTGAAGAATCACTCTTGATATTGTTGTTCGTCTTTCGCGTCGGATTTGTTGCATTATTCCACCGGTTATATTATAAAAAAATTGGTTCATGCTTTATGCTATGCACTATCGAATTATGGAGCACTTCGGAAGCTTGGAGAACACTTCGAGGGACCTGAGTTTTCGGTGTCTGAGTTTTCGTGACACCCAGCGACCTTGCCATGAATTCTAGTAGTTGCCTCTAACATAAATAAAACACTCGCGATATGTGAGCATGACTCAGCCAGTCCAGCTTTGCATCCCAAGCAATGGGCTGACAAAATAGTCCCATCGTTTTCGGAAATGACCCAAATGTTCACTAAAGGATCATTCATATGCTGTGAATGCCAAACTCGTGCTCTCACGGCATACTTGCCGGCGATTACTTTGCCTACAACTGAGGTTACAAATCCCGACACCATTTGATTAAACGCCTCTAGACTCTTGAACGCCTTGAACTGCTTCTTGGTGTAGAAGCTGGTCTCAAGAACGAGGTAACTCAGCAAGTCCGACGCTTCCACAGGAGGCAAGCATTTTGGACTGAACTTCTCGGCTGGTATGCTTGCAGGGTCAACCCCAATGACCGAGATCTTTTGCAAACATCTTTCCTTCCAACTCTCTAAGCTTTCGGCATACTCAGAGAGCACTGGGATACCTTAAGAAGAATGCCGGATACTTTTATCGCTTTTTTCTGTCTGGATATTCATGTAGTTGGCGAAATACTACGGCGATAAGAGAGAGGGCTTCACTCTAGAAATCGACTAATTATTCATAACTTTGACACCCGAGGGACACCAACATGGCGGACACTAACTTCAGCAAAGCTTGTGACGTCACCTGAAACCCAACCATAAGGCCAACGAGAATTAATCTAAGAGAATATTTGCTGAATTCAATCTTTAGCACTTGCAAGTAATTTAGTTTTATGCTAAATTGTCGTGAAAAATTTGCTGCACGAAATATATCAATCGCCGCGTGACGAGGTAACTTGAGAGTAATTCAAGAGAATTGGAAGTTGTCAACTTCATTGGTCACGTGATTAAAGCAGGCCCAATGGGTGATCCGAGGGCATGTCTAACTTGCAGCTTGACTGTACTTGATGCCATTGCAGTTCAGGCTTGCGCGTGCTATCACTTTCTCGTAGGTATTTTGCAGAATATGCCAAACATTTTTCAGGAAAAAAAATTACAGTTATCAGGCTTCCATGCATATATCAGTTTAAGAAATTTTATCATCCGGTTTGGTTAGGCTCGACAACTTTATTAACAGAAAAAAAGTGAAGACTATTTTTCGGTTTGCTATTTTTTTAAATATTAGCTAGTTTAAGTGACAGTTTCAGACTATCTAAAAGTGTCTCGCTCAAATTTTCGCCGCCGTTGACCATACAGAAGTTGGTAAATTGGAGACTTGTGGGGCTACATCTGTCAAACTTTTTCAAAACTGTCAAAGTATTTATCATTTATGAAACAAACTTTATTAACATTGTTATCGTGATCATTATTTTCAATAAAATGATGATAATGATTATTGTTTTATTATCATTATGACAACACTGATGATTCTGGCTGAACCAAAAGAATCTTGATACCGTTATTTTAAGATCTATGGCATAATTTTTGCTGCTAACGTTAATAACATATATTGAAATACACTTACTCTCAGCAACTGCTTTCTGTCATTTTTTTTTTAAGGCTGCTATGATTCAATCCACACTCCCTCCTTACATTTTGGTTTAATTTATTGTTATTTCTGTTATAGGAACTTTTTCTCTTTGCGTCAGTTTTTGTTCAGTGCTGCTTTGATCTTGATTAACTAGGGACTTCCTAAAGCAGAAAATCGTTTTGTATTCTTGTCGAAATGTTCGGTTGAAGGCCCCATATATAATGGGGTTGAGAGAGGAACTCGCGAGTCCAATATCATTGTAAAAGACGTAGACCCAACGTGGAAGGAACCATTCCCCAACACCCTTTTCCACAAAATCGATTATAAGTACAGGAGTCCAGCAAATCAGATATCCGAGAACAGTGGCAAATAACGTCCGTGTCAATTTGGCATCTTCGGCTGAGGTCTTGATTTCTTGCCTGCGCCGTCCTTGGACGCGTTGTGCGTTCAAGGTTGAGGTCTTTAGGTCATTCGTGCGCCAACCTTGAACGCGTTTTGCGTTCAATCTCAGATGTCTGTAGACGTTAATGTAACAATATGAGAGAACGACAATGGAGTAAAAGATGCAGACGTAAATGGTGTCAGCTGCCAAGGACTCCTCTTCTACAAAAAAACAGAAAAATTTTCCAGGATGAAAGATAAACCTTTTGACAGTGGCAAGATAAGGGACTGGGTACGCCAACGCCAAGATCCAGACTGACGCGGCCATGAGCCGTGCGCGTGGCAAGGTAAACAAGAATCGATGTTTTGTTGGATGAACGACGCGGAAGTATCGATCGATGGACATAAGAGCCATGGTCTGCAGAGAGGCAGCTACTGTTGCTATGACAACAAAACCTTGGAATTGACATGCTGCGAAGGAGGAGACCCAATACCCTTTGATAAGTGATGGCAAAGATGGCGGAGTCGCAAGAGCAATAATAGCGATATCTGAAAGGGCGAGTGAAGCAATAAACAGTCCTGGTACATTTCTGAGCCTCGCGGATTTGTAGACAATATAAAGGACCAGAAGATTCCCAACAAAGCCAGAAACAATTATAGAAGTGTAGATCAAGGATTCCAGAACAACTTGAAATGTACTTCGAGATCGTAATGATTCCGCCAGGCGAAGGATGTTGCTGTTAATATCTGTAGTAGTGTCCCCCGAGATATTCATAATGGTTTCTGAAAAGGTAAACAAAGAGTATTGTAAGGATTTTTTAATGAGAATATATTATTTATTATGATATTACTTAACCCACATTGTTACGTGGTCAGAGGGCCTTTCTGTGGGCAATTTTTTGACGTGCGCTCGTTTACACGGCAAATGATTATATTTGCATTTCTGTCTAACTGTTTAAAGATAACAGGTAAACCTAGCTTAGGTAGAAAATTACCGGTCAATGTCAATGAGCAACTGCATACCCACTCCTCCCATAACCCAAAATTAACCCTAACTTGTTATCAGTTCACTCAGGGTTAAGGGATGGGTAGGTGCGTAGTTGCTTAAATACTTACACTGCAGCTGATCCAAAATAATAATTATAATTGCGCATGCCCATGGCATAGTCTTTAGCGTACTTTTTCACGTAACATAATCTTCCAGCTGTTACATGTAAGCTAATTAAAGTGGGTGATGAAGAGAACAAAATAACAACTTTTCCAAAAACATATCTGAATAATCAATTTCATTGAATTCTTCCAACCCCAAACCGGACAAGTGCAAACTTGATAATTTCTCGAAAAAGATAAGACCGAGGTGTTTATTTTGGTTTCAGTCCAATCATATCATCACCTGCTATGACACAGCAACGAAGGTAACGACTGTTTGAACAGCAAAACGTCCGTGAGCCAGTAGGATTCACGCTCCAATAGATTTTAATAATCTAATTAGGTTTCGTCAATTTACTCAAAAAAGAAACAAAAGGTAATATAAGATGCCACTCACGTAAATTAATTTTACAAACTTAACAAAAATGCAGAGACTTCTCCGTTTTGAGGAAAATTAAAATTTGTTTTATTGGCAGGGTTGTTAACCCTAGAAGTATAATGTTTGGAGATTGGCTCTACTTTAATGTGATTTACTTTCAAAGCTTTTTTTTTAATTGCAATTGTTTCCTATTGGCCATGACTTCTCTATTTAAAAAAAAAAATAATAATAGCATATACCACGAGTTAATTCAACGCCATGAACACGTACGAAGCATGTTACTACCTTAACAATGGAAAAAAAATGAATACGTCATTTTAATAAACTTATCTTACGGATAGATTTTTTCAGCCCATCACATAAGGAAACTTTAGTGTTGGTTAGAACCAAAACCGACAAATACAAGCTATGCCTCATTTTCAATGTTTCCTTACTTAACGAATTAAAAATTCTAGATGTCCTTGCGATTGATTTTATTATGAGGTCTTATCATGCTTGGCTACCATGATCTGCTTTGATATAAAAACAGAAAATAAGTCTTTTTTAAAAGACCTTTCTTACGGATAAATTGCTTCAGCCCGTGACATCAGAAAACTTTTGTGTTGGCTATAAAAACACTAGCAAAGACATAAACCGAAACACAGAAGCGGTGTCTCATTTTGAATATTTCCTTACTTAATGAATTAAAAATTCTAGATGTCCTTGGGATTGATTTTATTATGAGGTTTTATGATGCTTAGCTACCACCATAATTTGCTTTGATGTAAAAACAAAAAAATCTGAGATTGAAAAAAGACCTTCCAGAAAAAAAGATACTAAAAAATTACATACCTTTTTGTATTTATGTGGTAGAAAACCAGCGAGAAGATATAGGAAAAAAATAATGTTTGGATGAGTTTAACCCTGGTTTTTGAAAAAAAAAACCTCCAGTTTACGTACCGAAGACCGTGCCATGAACTGCCTCGAAAGAAGGAACAGTCCTCTCGTAAATGTATCTGATCAAACGTCGTCACCAGGGTCTCGCTTCTCACCACCAAAACGAGGTCATTATCGTCTAATCAGGAATTAATCTGATTGGTCACTGCATATCCATGATTGCTTTGAGTACTGGAAATGGGTACTGTTGTAAGACGAATTACCATCACGCGGTTCGGAGGGTATTCTGGCTCTGCATCGTGCATTGCACGTATTCTGTTACCTAACCATCAAGCACTGCACTCCATGTCTCGCACTCTTGGGACGAAGCAAAATTACAGGTGACAATTCCTAACCAATTAGTGACTGTTTGTTTTATGTATGCAAGATTACATAAATTGCATATTCTAGATATTTGATAGTTCTTCACGTACACTGGCAAAAAAAGAAAAAAAAAAAAGGAAAGAGGTTGTGGGAAGATCTTGGGCTAGTGAGAATTTCAGCATGCAGCGTATATTGAAAATCCTCACGAAAGGTTTTGAATAGGTGGTTGAGTTAAATATTTCCGGAAAGCATTGTATGAAAAGTTTAGACGTGTAACTCTAATAAGAGCTTATACGAGGAGACAAACACCTCACTTTATCGCTAACTGGTCTAACATTTCTGTATGTTAAAACATTTTGAATTGCTAACAAATGATGAAAAAAAAGTCCAGTTTGAGTTCGATTTCAGCTTATCTTCTCTCGTCGTAATTGGATTAACGTCATACGTTGACAATTTCAGATGACTTAGCAAAGCCAGCGGACATATCTTCTACAATTACCTTTTATTAGCCAATCATATTTTAGGAAATTCGGGGGCCCTCTGCCTTGCAAATAATTTGCTGTTTGTTCAACCATCTATCGTGTTAAACTAAAGCAATTACAGTCGTTGCCGGAAACCTCAGTAAGTCAACTGAATCTCTCACAATAAGAAAACTGAACAATTCATTTTTGAAAGACAAGAGACAGCACATTGGAAATACATTTCTAGTGTGATTTTTGTGAAGGTGAGGTGTTTTATCTAGGTGCTTTACACGTCTTAAAAAAGAGTTAAGCATATTTTCAAGTTAGCGCCGGGTAAATCAACACAGGTACCATATACATCCATGCTAAACTGAGCTTCGAATTTCCGATGGGACAGTAAAATATATGTATAAATCTTAGCGTTGCTCAAAGCCTGTGGCAACGAAGAGAATTGCACAAGTTATTTTGATTCGTAGTACAAGAGTAAAATTTCTTTGTATTGTTAATTTGCTCGGTCCCGTTTATTGCATTTGCATTTCAAGGTATCGTTTACAACCAATTTCAATGAAGAATCATATCGATTTTTCCCAAGATTAGGGGAGCGATGCGTTTATTCATTAAAAATTGTTTTACCCTATAACACACTTCAAATGGTTCTATTGAACACTTTACAAAAACCCTTTCCATTATATTTTTTTGGAAATCGAGAATTTCTATTTATCTTGGCGATTTGTTGTGCTGCTGGTCACACCTTGCCTTCTGGGTAAATAAAAATATTACGTTGCTTTTTCTAGTCTTTCTCTCAATATTCCGATAAGTTTATCGAGTGGCTCAGAGTGTTACTGTTAAAACAATGGCATATCATTGTACATTACTTGCTCAATCCACAATGTATTCGCTCGGAATGGTACATTTCTTCATTCAGAGTTGGTTTAACTATTTACGTCGCGAGCGAGTGCCTAATGGCTTTTTGTTTTCCATGACCAATAACCTTCTACATCATGTTTTGAGTGAGTACATCTTAAAATTTTGGGAAGCCGACACCTGTCAAATACTGACCTACTTATCTATATATTTTTTCCCATGTTCACCTAATTTTGTTTTTCATTGGAAGATTTTGCCCGAGGATTACGCACGTTTGGTTTGAGCAGAGACACAGACAGAGATGAAGATGAATTGGATTGGTTTTTTTTTTTTTAGATTTGATCCATAATTCTTTTCTGTTAAAGTTTCTTGGTGCCTTATTGAAAGGAAAGACCAGGTTAAACGCTGTTGTCTTTCGATTGACATTTAACGAATGTACTAACAATAGAAACTACAAATACTAACTTAATCAAAGATGCACCGCGCTTATGTACATTTACTTTTCTGTCCTGAAAGAAACATTTTTTTTATGTTCAGTCATTCTTTCTCGCTAAATATTCATTTCAAAGCATTCAAATAGTTCTCTTTATGACATTTTAAAACAACTTAAATATTTTTGTGCCAATATCTTGCAGTCGTTCTCAGAATCGTTGTTTCTTTTGGTCTCGTGATTCGACTATAACGCTAGAATGTGATTTTGTCTTTAGAATGGTTTCCATAGCCGAGGTGCTTCTGTCAGCGTTGTTCTCATTGCTAATTGTGATCGACATCGTTGGAAATGTGTTGGTTTGCTTGGTTGTTTATCAATCCAAGCAAATGAGAAAACCCATGAATTACTTGCTGGCGAATCTTGCCGTAGCAGATGTTGTGATTGGTGTATTCATGTTACCTAGGCATGTGTTACATCATGCTTTTAAGCACCCAACAGGTCAGTAATGAAAACTTTTCAATTCAATTTTAAGCATAATTGGTAAATAGTGATGAATTGAAGATGCCATCTAGAGCAAGCTACTTCCACCGCCCTTCTCCCGGAGAAATGTTACAAACTCCTTTGAAACAGGCTGGGGCCCACTGTCATTCCTCAACGAATATGGAACACCAAACCAAGCAAGCATAGGATATATAGCTTCAGTTGTTTTCGCAGTTGTTGTGGACCTCAGAACAGCAACCTGCCGACATAACCTACTGCCACTAGAATACTTTCCCCGTAAGAAGAAGCCTAAACAGGTCTGCACTAATATTTTGCCACAGAGCGGTCGGCGGCAAAACTCGAGCTTTGGGAGCCCAAACTCTCCCACCACGGGGTAACTATGTTCTGTTTTACACAGTCCCTCCACGTACAGCGTCAAACACTTAGTCTGAGGGTCGGGGTTCGAATCCCCTCTCGAGTATGGCAATTTTTTTAATATATGTCTTTCCAAATGGAACAAAGAGACCCATGCATACCTCCTACAGGGGTACATATTAGCGTTGACAGACTGCGAGTAGTCCCTCTTTTTTTAAAAGTTCAGTCCTTATAAGTTCTTTTTCGTGCGCCTCACTCCCAGAGTTCTGCGCGGCGCACTAATGTCAATTCTAGTTTTCTTTTTTTTTTTCTTGACTCACTGACTTCGCCGAAGGAGGGACCGAAGAGGAGAGAACTACAAAAATACTATTATTTTCTTTTTTCAGATCTTTCACTACTGCTTAGGTGATGTTTATTACTACGAAGATCGCTTTCAGTCATTTCTTAATCCGCTGTTTACATATTTGATTTTCATATATCCACCCTAATTTAAAACTAATTTCGTTGTCACCTTCTGCTCTCATTTACAGGTGCATCCGGGAACTACTTATGCAAATTCATTACCGGTGGTGTGTTCATCTGGTTGAGCGCGGCAGCAGCTGGGATCTTACTCATCGCCATAGCAACTGCGCGCTATTACGCCATAGTGCATCCTTTCAGAACTAACTTCCGGTTGGACAAGAAACGCGTCCTTTGGATAATGGCGTTGTCGTGGGGGTTCGCATGTGTGTTAACAGGCCCAAGTATGTCCGCCATAGGGTACGACCCACAAAAAGATTTCTGCGTGGAAAAGTGGATAAAATGGTATCCATCGCAAGCTCATGTTGCTTTTGTTTTCACTGTCAATTGCGCGATTCCGATCGTAATGATGACACTGTTGTATTTACGAATTATCCACAAACTGTGGCGAAAGGAAGATGCAATCACGAACTCAGTTCAACTTGCAAGACTGAAGTCACGCAAACGCGTGACAGTTATGCTCATCATTGTAACAGTTGTTCATACTCTATGTTGGTCCCCGAACTATGTTTTATATTTACTGATATTCCACGCGCCAGGATTTTATTACGGTTCCACAACTTACATTATAACTGTTTTGTTAATTCTACTGAACGCAGCCGCAGACCCGCTTCTGTATACTTGGTACATGGATGGGTTTAGGAAGGGTATACAGAGCATGCTCTGTTGTTGTCGTAGAGACAGGGTACACGTAATAGGCACCTTTGGCAGAAAAACTGCTAATACCCCTGACCAAGTTGGCTTTTCTGTCACCACAGAACCAAATAAGGAACAAGGTTATAGAACTAGTACAGTTTGAGTGAAAGAATCGAAACGACGGCCTTGGCGAGTATCAAGTTGTTTCTCAAACCGCGATGTGATACGGGAAATAACAAGCATAGTGGGTGCTAGTCTATGTCAATGAAGCAGGGGAAAGCTCCAGACATCTATTAGACTATAAGAAGTCCTTGCTTTTCGGCGAAATCCGTCGCGCAAGTCAAATATATATATATATATAAAAGGAAAATTATGCTAGTGCGTCACGCGGAACTCTGGGAGTGAGGCGCACGAAACGTTTCACTTTCACATCCCAGAGTTCCGCGTGATGCACGAGCATCACTAACATTTTTTCACTGGGCTTCGTTTCACTTTGACTCGTGCGCCGAAAAGAAGAGAATGCTCGAAGAAGAGTGCGTTCGCGGATACGTCACCACTGTTACACAAGACTTAAAAGGAAGAAAAACACTCATGGTAGAGGTAGAAGAAACAAAAACACCATGAACAAATCAAGAAAAATCAAAATCTCTTTATTTCCCATTGAAAAGATTCATAAAACATTAAAATGTAACATTTATAGCTATTTCCTGTTGAATCTAATTTAATTTTGACCGAATTCTACCATCTTTAGATGGTCACAGTAAACACTGGTTCTGCTGGTTTATCCATAGCGTCCATCCTGTTTGCGTTTTCATTCTGCAACAAAAAAGGAAATAAGAAATGAAAAAATATATATATAATGAAGAAACGTAGGTATAAAACATCCAGTTGTAAGTAAATATCTTTGCTGTGCTTGGGTTAAAATGTGAAGAAAGTGCCACTTACTTGAAAGGGAAAGAAACACAACCCCTCATTTATAATTATGTCGAGGGGGGGGGGGGACCTTCGTTCCCAGGGTCCTCTCCCTTCCTTTCCCGAGGAAGAAAAAGATAGGATCCTGGTAACAAGATTGCTTGAATATGAGTTGACAGCGATGCACAATTGGCATGGGTTGTCCGTGTTGTAGGTTGGGATGGCTGTGTAGTTTGCTGCATGGCAGTCTACGAACATACCTCAGAATACATTTTTCTCATCTCGCTTTTGAGACGCTCGAGTAAATCAGTATTTGTAGAAGAGTTGCCCCCTGATTTCTCGTTGGCTGTTTCACTGTCATCTTTTTTGTACTAAAAAAAAACAGTAGACAACAAACAAATAAATTTCGCATAGAAATTTCATACTAGCAACAAAACTTACCTCTCATATGATGTAGTAAGGCAAACCAAGTCACACCAACAGAGAAAGACCTTTTACGCTCAACTTTTTTAAGAACCTAAACCATAAAACGACTTGACTGTACTTATATATATAGAGTGACTTGGCTTTTGTAAAGAGATTCAAAATCTCACGTTTCTGTTTGGCAACCAAAAGCCCTTTTGTCAGAGCGAATCTCTTTACGGCGGCCAATTCACATTATCAACTCAGATGATAAAACCAAATTATCTTGCAATACCCTCCGCCTACGTAGTGCTACAGTTTCATTTTAAACTCACCACCTTAATTTGTATGTGCCTCACTTAGTTATCTTTTTAATCGTAAGTACTGGAGAAGTGAATAACATCGGTCCGATCTGATTACATTACAATAAGTTTGTATCAAAACTTAACAGGTTATGATTTCTGAATTATATGACGCTTACCTTTTTTATTGACCCCGTGGGTCTGTCGCAGTAGATCCGAATAAGTGCTCCCCATTTTTCGAGATGAGGATGCAGTTTCTACAAAAGACATAAAATTGAAATCAAATAGGTCATATAATGCGTGTAGTCTATGTCAAAAACGTGAAAGTAGCTCTATATAATGGTGTTAAAAAGTAGCACTCGAGAAACGTCGGAATTCAGGCAAATTAAATTCACATTCATCAGCCAAAGAATTTTACTAATTTGAATATACTTCGCGCAGTAACATTCCTAAATGTGTCATACGTTTGTCTTTATTTTTCCCCGAATATTACGGTTGTCGAAAAAAAAGAAGGGTCTTCGAAAATAAGTTGGCTTTTGAGCCTGATAGAAACACATTTGTAAAGCATTTAACAAATCCACGGAGAGGAATTACAATATCGTCAGGAGGTCAATTGTTGACGCATGAAACACGTAGCAAAAAATCCAGCCGTCAAAGTGCATGCTTCATCTTTAAAACAAACATGCACTGCAGAATGTATGCACACAAAGTTAAGCTTACTTATTTCCACACTCACTTTGAGGATGTGCTGTGACGCTAACTGCTTGCCATTTCGTTTGTTTTTACAAGGACCCTGCAAATAAAAGAGGGTTAAATTTTCCAATAACAATATCTTTGATAGATGCTCCTCTTGGCTCTCCCATTCACGGCTCTGCTACAGCTATCTGGGGCGACCTCTGGCCGCGAACGAGGCATGGAATGTTTCCACTATCTTTTGCCATTTTTATTAGACTTTGCTCAACTTGGTAATTATGGTTTTACTAAATGAGTTGCTAATCTAAATTGGTCACCGTAAAGAGTTTCCAAGCTGACGTTTCGTGCGTTAGCCCTTTGACAGAGCCATTTGTCAACTTGGATATGCTAAAGTGTTGTCAAAAGCTGTGAGATTCACAGATCCGTGTACCTCAGCTTCGTAAACGACCAAAAACGACAACGAAAATTACAATTGCCTCTTACATTTTCCTAACTAATCGGTAGAAGATAAGATATTTTCGAATTTACCGTTGCAGTGTGCTTGCCACATGTTATAATAAATGATAGACTTTTGTTCTGTCCGCAGACTGTTTTAAACTCAATGGATGAGCAGATACCTTGATTCCTGTATCAAAAAAAGAAAAGAAAAGAAAACAGAGAATTTTGGTCATACATCAGTCGATGCAATAAAACAGTTATCAAATGTTTCTGCACTTTTATGATCAAAGACAAAAGAAAACTTTTAAAAATATCTACCCACCTTCTTAGACACTCCTCGAGGATTTGCGAGGGACTGGGGAGAGAAGTTTTTGAGCAAAACTCGAAAAGCCGAGGGTTCAATATGTCTACTTGATCAAAAAACTGTAATGATAAAGAAAAAGGAAAAAAAAGAAAATAATTCAATAAACAGTATCAATATTGTAATACTGAAGGAGATATTGTCAAAGTCAATGACAGTTATGATGATGAGGATAATGATAATGATGATTGATAATGATATTGATGATGATCGATAATGATAACGATGATGATTAATAATGATAATGATGATGATTAATAATGATAATTGATAATGATGATAATCGATAATGATAATGATGATGATTAATAATGATAATGATGATGATTAATAATGATAATGATGATGATTGATAATAATAATGATGATGATTAATAATGATAATGATGTGAAGGTGTAGTCTGATCGTCTGGGTGAGTGTAGTCCTGAGAAGGACTGTTGTGGGTGGTAGTGACTGACGTTTTGACAACCTGTGCGGAAGTCATCATCTTGACTCTGATGATGACTTCCGCACAGGTTGTCGAAACGTCAGTCACTACCACCCACAACAGTCCTTCTCAGGACCATACTCACTCAGACGATCAGACTACACCTTCACATGTTACCCCAGGGTTCAAACCATTTACTGAATGATAATGATAGCGAAGCTTCATAGCCAACTGGTACTGATGGGGTTACTGAAGTACTGGTAAGTATAGATTGTCTTTACTAAGCCCTACCTCTAGCTCGGCATCAGAAATCTGATAATCGCGAATTTTTTTAAACATCCCTGGTAACAGAACTTCAAGAGTAGATTCAGCAGCAATCTGGCGAGCTATTTTCTTACTGGAACCAGTTCCAGAGCCATATTTGATGCCATCTATTTGTACCTCTGCCACAAAGGGACTATCTGAACTTGCACTTTCACTTGCAAGATAAACTGGTTTGGATTTCAAAATTCGTTGACAATACTCATGTAAGATAGCCACCGGTGTTTTACCACCAGCATTCAACAGACAATATTTACTGGGGCTCTTTCCATTCTCTGCACCTTTTACTGAATATGATAAACACTCCAGACTGGAAGGTAATTCAACATCATCTTCAGTCTGTGGCAAAGCCATCACAGCATACCGTTCTTGTTCTGATGTAAGGGTTTGAAACTCCCATATGGTCGAAAGGTAACTTCCAAGTTCTCCAATGTCTAATAACTCCAAAGTTGGTGGAGTATTCTTATTGCTGTCAGTAGTTTCTTCTTGTTCTTCACTGGTATTTTTTACTACGCTGGTATTTGCAACACATTTTTCAACATCCTGGGTATTCAGAGCATTTAATATCGAACCTGCTGGGTTTTTTGATTTGGAGGTACCATTCTCTGATTTTGTTTCTTCAGTATTCTCTTGATTTATTCCCTTTTTCTGGTGGAGGCATGGAATTGCAGCCAATGGTACATCATGTTTCTGAAAGTTCACAGTTTGTAGTAGACATTCATTTCACATCAGAAAATCAAAATTGGTCTAAATTTGAACAACCTTGATAGCTTTTGTATAGTTTTTACTGAGTTTGGGAAGAGCTTTCAACTGATAAGGAAGAACAGTGAATTGGGATCAGATTACAGTACTTCTTGCTTTTATGCTGTTGATTACTAAATATAACTGATGGTAAAGAATTAATTTTCTCAAGTTTGGGGCCTCAGCTAATAGTCAAGCTCAGTCTTTAGACAACTAAATATATCTTATTAGACATTTTGTTGTGTAGTATCACTGATTATTATCCAACTACACCTAGAGGAGTACAAATAACGCCATAGATGGGTACAAATATCACGCAGTATTTGTACTCGTCTCTTGTAGTGCTGGTTAAACAGGTTTTCTCGCATTGCGCAAGCAAAGAATTGGATTGTAGTTATGAAAAAAAAAAGTGCCAGACAATTTGAATCATATTTCCGATGACGAAGAGTCAGAATGGCTGGCAAATATAGGTCCAAGTTCATTAGATGAATTGAACGAAGAAAAACAACTTGACGACCAGAAAATTTCTTCTAATCATTTAGTGAAGAAAATAGAAACAGCGACACAACAATGCGCCAATTCCATTCCACTTCGCATACTTCTGTCACGCACTCCCCGTAAATAAATATCCGTGAAATTCGCCTGCACTGAAATAACAGTTTGGTGTGTTGGATAATAAATAACTTATTAGACATTTTGTTGTCAGAAAAATGATTTAAATTGTCTGCCATTTTTTTTGTGACTTCAATCCAATTTGTGCAATTTGTGCTTATGTGATGCAAGAAAACCTGTCTAACCAGTACTCTAAAGTACAAATAATGCGTGATATTTGTACTCATCTTGGGTGTTATTTGTACTCTACAGAGTATAGCTGTATAATAAATACAGTTACTGATCAGTTCAGTGTATAAACATACATATAAATGTCAACCTTCCCAGCTTATCTGGAAGTTTCTGGTGACAAACTGGTTCTCACACTGTTCTTTACAGCTCATTAAGTAATTGTTTAATATATGATAAGGGGAAAGTAGAAGGTGAAGAGGATAAGAGACGTGAATTTGATATCTATAGTAAGAACAGGGTTTTCTCTCCACAGATGGCCGTGAGTTTATGTGATTATGCGGGTGCATTTTAACAACTTTCCATGTGTAGTAAGTTCTGTCCAGTGACAAATAGGGGGACGGTAGAGGAACTTGATTAAGCTGATTGAATTCTAGCTTTCAAGGTTGGCACCCCTTAGACACTTTAAGCTACAGATTTTTCCCTTTCAAGCATTCCCCAAAAGAAATGACTCTAGCACTTCTTTTATGAACATATGCTAAGAAGCTAAACCTCCAAACTGTCTCCATTGCATTTGGTGTTCCCAAGTCAGATCCATAGTCCCCCACACACAGGCACTGGAAGTTCTGACCACTGTGTTACAAGAACACTCTGGATAAGTAGTATCCAGTCTTTGAAAACAATTCCAGAAGCCCTCTGCTAGATCTGTCAAGTTGAATCTTTACACCTCTATTACAATAATTTCCATTTCACTCTACAACTCTATAACAATAATTCCCATTTCACTCTACATATGCTCCTTGCATGTGACTAAAAGTGCTACCCGTAGGCAGTAAAGACCCACCAGTAGCAGTTTTAAGGCAAGCGCAAGATGCAGGCAAGTGAAAGACAACAAGGCAGTCTATTTGTAATAATTGTTTCAGCATTTTTGAACAGGCCCTCTTACTCACAAGATATAACCTGGAAATATCAGATCTGTCTTCTCTATGTTTCTTTAGTCTTCAGCTCTGAGAATTTGTTATCAAGTTGAAGAAAATTCCTCAGTTAATATCTTTCTTTCTTCCTATTACCTTTCTGCTTGAAAATGTGTTGACATTTTAATGAGAAATTCCTTTTTTGTCACCCCTGGGATTGAATGGTAACAAGTGTTCTAATTTGCTCCCACAGTTTTATTACAAAAATGTGGACTACAACACAGGTTGTGTTTCCCTCACCACTTTAAAGTAAAGTTATAAAGAGGACATCGTTGTATCTAAATGGTACTAACTGAATCATTTTGGAAAGTGAAAGTGAAGTGAAAGTGAATGATTCGATACCTTAATAGCAGCATAGGCTGAATTGCTAAGGTCTACAGTGTTACTAAGGTTGAGATCGGATGTCAGACTTATCAGGCGCCTCTGGCAGCCACTTTAGTCCATGTAACGACCTCACCTTTTCCCACCACACATCCCACCCCAGGGGAGGACATCCATTACACAGTAATCTCGTGTGTGGGAAATTAACGTCTCCTACCCCTAACCCTGCAGGAGATGGGACCTCCATTTTATTCGTCCTTATCTGAGAAGACTAGAATATCTTTCCATTTCATTGATGTTATAGAAAGGTAGCAAATTCTCCTCAGTTATTTTAAGACCATGAGTATTGGTCCTGCCGGGGCTCGAACCCTCGACCTCCTGCACAACACAATCCGGTGCTCTAACCAATTGAGCTAACCAGGAGGCTAGCTCAATTGTCAGCAATACGATAGAAAAATGGGAGGGTTGTAAAAAGGCAAATTACTTTTTTATACTCTTTGTGGTACATTGAGAATCAAAAGACTTGTAATAGATTTTTAAAAGAGCCCTTAGTAGAACTGCTAGCAAATAAATGAATTTAATCCTGTCTTTGCTTGCAAATTATATGTTGTATAAAACAAAAAGAAATTGTTACCCTGACGCTTCCTCCACCAATGTGATAAGGACGAGACCATGTGCACACTCTTGACGGCTTATGGAGATAAATGATTCCTCCACTGCGATGATTAAGTGCTATCCAGCCCTCTGGTAATGCCAGCTTTGGTAGATTTCCCTTCACTAGAAGAGACAAAAAACAAAAGTTAAGTAAATACACACATGAAACATAGGGGAGTAATTGAGTGTTTTGGTGTTCATTCAAAGAACACATTTCAGGGAAGATAGGATTCATCAGCCTTAATTCATGTTTCATGCCATAATTCATTAAAAGGAAAAGAGACTCTTCAATCTGGAAATCATTCATTAACCATCTCACTCTCTAGTTCTAATTTATTAATTTATTAAAAGGAAAAGAGACTCTTCACTCTGGAAATCATTCACTAACCATCTCACTCTCAAGATCTAATGATCTATTCTCTTTACTGTTTTCCAGTCTTACAATATCAGTTCAGAGAATTTGGTATTAGATCAACCAATAATCTCCTGATTATAGTTTTCTTTCTTCTCATCACTTGTCTGCTTGATATTGTAAAGACATTGAAGGGGGAAACTCTATCTTGGTTTCTCATTGGAGTTAAAGGGTTAGCAGCATTAAGGAAGCACCCGCCCCGTTCATTTATAATACAGCTATGTTCAAGAATTTTCATCACAAACATGAAAACCAGCCGCGATTATTGTTGTAAAATATTCAAAGTTTAAAGTATTCGCACCATAACACTTATCTGAAAACAGAAAGAATGGTTAACACTTACAGATAATAACCTTGCGTTCTTGTTCATCTGTTGGGTTTTCTCCTTCTTGCTTTTCATCTCCTGTTGTACTGATTACATTTTCCCAGTCATCAGCTTGATCACCTTCTGTCATCCGTCGTTTATGATTGTGGTCCAATAAGTCTTCCTCGGACTTTCTCTTGAGCGGTATTCGCTCAGTCTCAAACGGCATCTCTTCGTCAGTAGATTCCTCCTTAGAATAAGTCGGTATATCCATACCAGCCGAGGAGGAGACCTTTTCCATGGTATTTTCCATTTTTTCAATTTCAGTTCTCAATTCACTATTTTCGCCAACAGTTAATACCGTTGGTGCTTTGACAACAACTGCTAACTCATTTACACTAATGTCAACTGACATTACTGCGACTGACGCAAAAGTTGCAATTCAATTCGAAATTGGATTCGTGTGAATTTATACCGTTCATTGCGTGTCACGCAATCTTCGATTCAAAACCCAGTCAGTAAAATTGGATGTATAAACCTTCATTCTAAGAATAGACCCATTAAATATTACTTCCTACACAACCGAAATAGGAAAGAGAAAATTAAGACTTGATGCCATTTGATTGTAACAGCCGCAGAAGTTTGTGGCCATTTTGATTGAGCCCGAAAGTATCTGGAACAGTGGTATACGTTACTAGTTCTATTCCCTTTCGTACTGCCAAGTAATGCCTGTTGATGCCTGATAAAAAGAAGCAGTTTTGAGGAAAGAAGTGTGAAAGCATGTCATTATCATGGAAAATAGAAGCCCTCCAGATCCATTGTATGTTCTGCGCGGTACGGAAGCAGCCTTAAATGTCGTCAAGTTTGCTCCAAAGACTGTTAGGGAAGAGGGGCTTCTACTTTCTGGGTACGGTTTGTGCACATAACATCTGGGAGTTTAGTTGATCACATGTTGAGTTATGTTTGAAACAGTCATTCTCCGTACTGCTAATGTGTAATCTGAAAAATATCCATCGGAAAGATTTCCGTATAACCCCATACCAGTCAAAAACAAAGCCGTAATCCCAAAGGTAACGAAGTATGGGATTATACGGAAATCTTGCCTATCCATCTGATTGTGCTTAGGATACATCTGAAAGTGAATTAGTCAAACTCACCTTCTCCCTTAAGTCCTCTCCCGCTCCCCCCACCCCCTCCCCACTAGAAAAATGGCCTTCAGGATGTGTACAGAAGAGACATTACGAAGCTGGAATACTGTGATGCCTTTTTGACTCTTGATTTCACAGGTCTGCTAAAGGGATCATTAGTTTATGGAATCTTAAAACAAAAAGATCAGAGGTAACTTTAGATGGTCATAATGGACATGCCATCCTTGCTGCTGAATTTCAACCTTGTGGGAATGTAATAAGGTACCATATGCCTATGCCTACTAGGCAAGTTAACTTGAAAATTACCCCTCTTTTGTTATAGCTTCTTAAATTGTCTTTCTCTTAACCAAGAAGAGTTAAGATACCCTGTCTGTAACAGTTACTGATCTAATAATTATTAGGGATGTTGAGTATCATAGTTGTTAAATTTAATTCTCAGGTTAAAAAAGTTTATATCTAAGCTGATTCCAAAATCGTTACTATGATTATCACATTAACTATCTGGTGAATATTTTTATTGGATGACTTATTTTCTGTCTATTCTTTTTTAACTGATTTCAGCCATGGTAGGGATGGGTATTTACAAACATGGCAGTGTTCTGAAGGAAGACATGAAATAGTAAATAGTATTTCAGCCCCTTTTCTTGGATTTTGTCAGTTTTGTATTATGTCAAGAGGTAATGTAAACAGTTAGATATACTTTTTTTTTTATTCTTTATCTGGAATTCACCTTCACACTAGGCCATGGATTAGCTATGTTTACTGCTGCGGTGCCCACTTGTGTCCCTCTGTGTTCCCCCATATCCAGTGCCCTTCCACGTCAATATTTTCCTGCATTCATTGTTTTGCACATCTTTGATAATATGGCCAATGAACTTCACTCACATAATTTTAAAATAGCATACCGTTACTTTTACCTAATTAGCTCATTTGAAGCTATTTCATAAATATTTACATTTACAGGATACAAGTCACATTGGATTGGTCTCCCATCAGCTAGTCATTCCCAGGTAATAAAGACTACAGTTTATTGTCTTCTTTATTGGTAGGTTGTGGTTATCATAAATAAAGGCTGATAGTTTTGAAAGAAACTGTTTGGGGCTGCGTCGGTGGGAGTAACAAAATAATTTGGATATATCAACTAAGTTGAAATGGTAAATTGGCCACCGTAATGATTAGAAAAGCTGACGTTTCGAGCGTTAGCCCTTCGTCGTTAGCCCTTCATCGTCAAGCTCTAATCCTAAACCCTTTCAATACCACAAGTGACCAAGACAGAATTTCTCCTTACAACTTCAATACAGTATCAAGCAGACAAGTGATGAGAATAAAGAAAAATATCAACAAGGGGATCACCAGTCGATATAATACCAAATTCTCCAAACTGACATTACAAGAATTGTATGACAGAGAGTAAGGAGAATTTCTAATGAGATCTTGGGAGTGCAAGGGTTAACCCCTTACACCCTAACATCAATATCCATATTCTCTTTGCTGTTCTCTGTGCACTTGCCAAGGCACTAACAAGGAGAATTTGTTTAACAATCAAAAACTCCTTTAGTTGGGGATCATTTCCTTTATTCTTGTGACTTAAGTGTGTGATTTAGGGGTCATATTGTAAGGAGAAACTAAATGCAAAGGTTAAGCATCATTTTCTTTCTGGTTTTGGTAGTTGCCCTCCAATCTTGTTTTGCTGTAGGTGTCAGAAAAGTTTTATGAATTTTAAAAAGTTTATACTTGGTGTGTTGACCAAAGAGGTAAAAGATGTGAGGGTGATAATGCTGTCTAAGCTAACAAATTAGGTTTGTTTAATGTAATTCTTCTTTAACATTGACCATAGGTAAATATACTTGATCTGGAGTCTAAAGAAATCCTGTTTTCTCTAAAACCTGATAATGAAAAGTCACTTGGTAAGTTGTGTGTGAATAAATTATTTTGTTAGTTTGTGATCAGAACCTAGAGCCAAATGTTTCTCTCAAGCAACCAACAAGTTAGTCAATAGTTTCTTATATGTAACATTATTCATGGAAGTGGAGGTGAATAGTGGTGGATATTTACCAAGCCGCGAAGCACTTTCAACAAAACCAAGGTGAATAATTGTTTTAGTATATGCCACAAATATAAAAGAGATAGTTTATTTCTTTCATTATTCTGAGGAATGGTTGGAAATTAAACTTGACAAACAGTTTTGTCTCATCAGCTACTTGGAGGTGGATAGTACTTGCTATTTCACTTCTGAACTAGCCAATCAACACATGGGAAAACCATAATTCACCTGTGTGGTATATACTAATTTGGTTTATGAACTAAGTGGATGATGTAAATCAGCCACTCTCGAGAGCTCCTGAGGATGAATTTTTGAGCAATAACCCTTTGTCTTTCTCTCTGTTGAAGGGCTAATGCATAAAACATCAGCCTTGGAAACCCTCTGTTGATGCAGGGCTTGACACTAACAGTAGCCCACTAGCCACAGACTAGTAGAAATTCAGTTTTGGCTAGTGGCTTTCGATTTCCACCGCAGGGCAGCCAGTTTGACTGGTAAACAAACTGAAAATTTGTTGTAACATCTAAGATGTCACTAACCACTTGGCTAGTAAGTTGAAAAGTTGGTGTCGAGCCCTGTGATGGCCAATTCTCATTAATTTTACTTATTAACACAAAGTTATCTCAGAATATCCCCCACAAATGTAGCACCACAGTTTCTTTGGAAACTTACCACTCATATTTTTGTATTATTTTTCTGACACTGAGATTGTTCCACATAACCATAAACTTGAGCTGGTATAGTGGTTAATGTATCTACTTAGGTAACCATTTGCTTACTGCATACCATAAGTAAACTTTTCTTTTTGACTTTTTTCCTTTCAGGGATGTGCATGTGTATCTCTTTGATCTCTGATCCAGCAACAGACAAGCCTCTCTTGATTGCAGGTTACGAAAGTGGTCAGCTTTTGCTCTGGGATGTTATGGCTAGACAAATCCTGGGTAGAAATCCAACTCATGCTGAATCAGGTTAATTATCAATCTTTGGTAGATTACACATTTAAAAACATGCAATCATGGTGGAGTTTTGAGTTTCTGCCACGGAAGTCAACCCCTCACTCCCTAACATCTGCATGCATATTCTCCATACTGTTCTCTATATATTCTCTAAGGTGCAGAGAAAGAGAATTTGTTCAACAATCAAAAGCCTAGTTGGTGACATTTCCTTTGTCATCATTACTTTGTGGTGTGATTCCAGGATAATAGAACGTTTCTACTAGAAACCATTAGAACCCCTCAACTCCCATGAGTGACCAAGACAGAATTTCTCCTTACAATATTAATATAATATCAAGCAGACAAGTGATGAGAATAAAGAAAAATGTCAATTTGGGGATTATGAATTGATACTTTACCAAATTCTCAGAACTAACATCATAAGAATTGTATGGTGGACAGTGAAGAGAATTACTATTGAGATCTTGGGACTGAAAGAAAAATTCTCAGAACTAACATCATAAGAATTGTATGGCAGACAGTGAAAAGAAATACTATTGAGATCTTGGGAGTGAAAGAGTTATTGGGTCTCTCTTCTCTTAGCCTAACTCAAACCTATAACTTGAAGTCTTTATTTGTTTCTTAAAATGTTAGATGGGCAAAAATTTCTTTATTTTCTTCAACATGTTTGTTTTACATTTAGTTCTCTGTATGGATGTAGACAAAGAGGACCTTAGAATAGTGTCTGGCTCAGCAGACAGTAAGCTGTGTGTGTCATCAGTAACACCTCAGGTATGTCAGGGGGTCTTGTGAGAATTGTTTCTCTAATTATTGCATGCATTATATCATTTTTATATTCTCTCTAGCACAGCATAACAGCAGACAAAGAAATTGAGCTGAAGAACCCTGGAATTGCTTCAGTCAAAATCAGGAAGGATTGTCAAATACTGGCCACTGGTGGATGGGATGGCAGGTGGGTGTTTTATTGACCATTCGACCCTTGAGAGTGGCATTTATTCTCATGACCTTTACATTTGATTCAGGGGTGGTACTGTAAAGAGAAATTAGATGCTGTCACTCTAAGGAGTTAAGGAATTGACAGAATGGAAGTTGTTCTAGCAATGCCCATTATCCCTAACCATTACTTATATATGTTAAGTTGAATTTCATTGCCCCAAATTCCCCTCCACAACGGGTATTTTTTTTATCTTCATTTAGTGTTATTCACTGTTAATCCTTTTACTCCCAGAAGTGATTAACATGTAACTTCTCCCTAAAATATCCATACATTATCCAGTAAATGGGTAATGATATGCTCAAACTTATCAGGTAGGTGTCATCTTGATCGAACGCCAAATTCTTGTAACCGATGCACAAAGAATTGTGTAGCAAGAGGGGAGTTTGAACAATCAGATAATGGAAGTTAAGGATTAATGCCAACGAATTCAGTATCATTAACTTAGCGGTCGATATTGAAAATTTTAACCATGGCACTAACAACTGCTTTATATTAATATAATGATAATTGTGAGGACAACGATTATTTAGTGATTTTATTTACCTTCAGGATAAGAATCTACAGCTGGAGAACACTCAAACCATTGGCTTATCTTAATTACCATACACAAACTATAAACACGGTGGATTTCTCGGAGGATCTGTTTGGCCATGGACAGCTATTGGCTGCTGGTGGAAAAGATTCCAGAATCAGTTTATGGTCTATATACAATGAAAAATAGTTTCTGAACAGTCACAAATTCTTCCCCACGATGGGAGTGGCAAGGAAATACGTCTCTACCAGTCTCCTCCACCTTTTCAAACAGATAAGGAACAGGCTAGAGTCTGAAGATGCTTGGAAAGTGAGCTTTCGACATTCTGACCAGTGAGCCTGCACCGCCCTTTAGAGAACACGAGCTCTATTGAAACTTTCAAACTTTTGTGAAGGATTGTGAGTTGTTGCGAGATAGTTTGGCTTTATCAACTGGGTCGATATTGTAAATTGGCAATCGTAAAGAGTTTCGAAAGCTGACGTTTCGAGCGTTAGCCCTTCGTCAGAGAAAATGTGAGTTATTATTGATTGAGGACGAGACCAAGTACCCATGGATAGCCTAGAACTGTAATATTAAATAAAATCATTGTTTAGACTGAAATGGAAATTATTTTGTAAAGTTGTTTTTAGCTCTGTTGATGCATTGATTCTTGATATTTTCTTATTCGATCAATATTTTCCGTCCAACACTCCTCATTATTTATTGCTACTCTTTATTGACGTTGAACAACCTAACCCTAAAGTAGTAGTTAAGATTGGTCATTTTAGTTCACGTAATGTTCCTGTAAGGAACCACATTAACCTAAAATCTTTCAGCTAGAATTGAAAGCATTTTCAAGAACACGTACTCGACATTTCGGTAAGTAACGTAACGGACTGTAGCACTGGCCTGAGCGAACATCCGCGTCAATGCGCGAATGAGCGGTAAAGAGTTTCGTTAGGTACTGCTGTTCATTTCTCCTTAGGCCCCCCTCGTTTTTCTGTCGCTCGCCCCGCTTTTCACTCATCTTCAGTAACTGATTGCCTAAAACAGGCGAAGACTAGTACCTTTTAATTTCGCTGTGTTAGTCTTAAACGGATCGTTCGGTAAAGGCTTTCGACTGTTTTTGACTTACTACATACAGTTTTCCCATGACTCCAAAAGTCGATCTCAAATCTTCATTGGTTTCAGAGATCACTAATTAATAGTATTAAAGGAAATCGGCTCCAACATAACATGAACAGAAGAGAAAGGTCAACACAACATGCTTTGTAATCTGCTGGACGTTACAAGTTTTTTTTACTTTCTTTACCTTCTTGATATTGTACTTATACTAAGAATTCTCAAAATAGAATTGTGATATTGTTTTTACTTTGCTTGTCACGACATTTCACTTCGTCTATGCCTTTTGTGAACTAAAAGATTCAAACTGGTTGAGCAATATTCCTTAGTTAGTTGTCACAGTTGCATGAAACAAGGATAACAAGGGGTAATGGACGACATTAAAACCCAATCATCAATGTGGTCTGGTTTAAAAAGGTGTAAAATAAGTGCCGTACAATACTAAAGAGTGACTGATAGGGATCGGTTATGAAGAAAATATCCACTTGTTTGATATTGTTGAGAAAGAGGTTACTCAAATTTTGAATTGGGCATAAAAATAAATTTGAGAATACCAGAAAGTAATAGGCGAAGAAAATTTTCACCAAAAAAACTGTAAACCATATTACATGTGCTCTTCACGTCACTCAGTCACTTGATCGATTTTCTAACTTAAATTTAGTTTTCTACGAATCTATAAATAAGGATGACGAGATTTTTTATGTCTTTTCAATCTATTATTTTAGGAGATTTCGTTTTCTTTGTTTTGTTCTCAAATGCCTCTGCACGTTTAGCGCGTCCTCGTGTATTCCTGTTCTTTTAGACATTGTAGGCTTCGCATGGTTGAATTTGTCCTTCAGATTCAGTGAAAGACTATGTAACGAAAGCTATAGCTTAAGTAACTTTAGGATCAATCAGTTCTAGCACGGTTGTTTGATTTTCTACGGAGAAATTAATTCATTTAATTAAGATCCTCGCGAATCTAAGCAATTTTTAAGAAATAGGTTTTCGATATATTTTTGTTCACCTTAAGTATTCGGCTTAAGAGATTTGGCCAAGAGAGGGTGAGAAAAATTACAACGATTTGGATCCAAATATTTTTATTGAGATGGCAGCAAAACATATTCTTGTGACGAAAGCCTATTCAACATGTCTGAAGAAAAATTAGCGTACAGGCGGCTGGAGTCAGGACAAATTCCTTATGTGATCACGTTCTCACCATATTTCACTGCATTACCGCAGTAGGGCAGGACTAGAACGGAACATATGCGATCCATGCGAGTAGCCCATCCATTGAATCCCACCCATCCCACCCCAGGGGAGGACATCCATCAGACAGTAATCTTGGTCATAATAACAAATGATTAGTCTTGTGAAAGTATTCCTCGTTCGACTTTTCGGAACATGCTTGGATCGAATACATACGATTGACAATAAAGTGACTCGTTTAGACTAAAGAATCAGTAAGGTGTTAATGAAGCAGGTTTCCACATGAAGTTACGTAATTCCCGGATCGAATATAAGAGGTATATGTTGTAGGCATTTCTATTTTGAACAGTAGCTTTTTTTTCTTTCGAGTGACATTAAAGTTTCTTTCGGTGGGCCGTTTTAATCCACGAGTGACTTCTCGCGTACAGACACAACAATATGTCGTCGAGGTTCTGACACAATCAATACAGCAGCAGTTTGTTATCTTCACAAAACAATTTTAAGTGTTTATTGCTGAACAGCATTTTTCTTTGTCGAAAATTTACCCATCGTTTTTTTTACCCTTCATCAAATTAAAAGATTTTCCCCGTGAAAGTAGTAGTAAATGACCTCCTAAAGATTCATCTTAATATTTTCAACAAAATTATTTTATTCATTTGAGGTAATGGAATGTTTAAATTTTGACGAGTTTCAATATGCTGTAACTTGGATTGATGACAAATAGAAATCTGACGTGGTCAGATTTTGAATTAGCTGCTACATGTCAAAACCTTTCTTTATTTTGTTCATATGAGTCTGACATAATTATTATGTATTTCAAGGTGAAGACTTTCCAAACCACACCGTAATGGCCTTTCGCTGGAGAATTCGACGAAACCTTATTCTGCTGCTAATTTTCACTTTCATATCTGTCGGTTTGTTTTTCGCTTTACTCCAAACATCCCGAGACGTTGTCAAGAACAGAAACGTATTACAGTCTGGTAGTATGTTTATTACAACATCAAATCTAACGACCAACGAGGCCCCTTTGGAAACTCAAAACAGAACCAACTCAGTTAACGATTCTACAGAGAGGACGTTGAAGCATAAGGTGAAAAATCGTCAGATCGTGTTGGTGGTTGCGCATGGCAGATCTGGTTCTACATTTCTTGCTGATATTTTTGACAAGCATCCACGAGTCTTTTACGTGTTCGAACCACTGCACGGGATAGGGAAAATTCAAGTCGGGGATTACGATACATTTGCGATGAATTTTCTTCAACACATTTTTCAATGTAACTTCAGTATGGGTAATACAAGCAAGGAGATGGGTCGTTTCTTTCGTTTCTACAGCCGAGCGTTAAGTTCTCCACCGTTTTGCAAGTACAACCAAGGCGATCCAAAATGGAGGAGAAAGTACTGTTCGCCTGTGACTCAAAAAAAGCTTGAACACTCGTGTAAAGTGCTACACAACACAGTCGTTTATAAGCTTCTTTTAGACAGAGTCCCTGGCCAATCAGTTGAGAGACTTTTCCACGTGTGCGAAATGGCAGATGTTGAATGCAAAATCATTTATTTAGTACGTGATTTAAGACCACTTGTAATGTCCTCTCGCAAAGTAGCCTTTTTCCGAGAGGTTGATCGGAAGACAAGACCATCCTTAAGACAGTTCGTTTATTCTTGCTGTGAAATGATTGAAAGGAATCTTGATATAGTGAAAAATTTTCCTCCATCTCTTCGCAGTCGTCTGAGACTGGTGCGATTTGAAGACTTAGCAGCTGAACCACTGCAAGTTTTCGATTCTTTGTATAGATTCGCAGGACTTGAAATGTTAGAAAATATCAAACAATGGATCGTGAAAATAACACAGCCGAGTTTTGATCACTTGAAAAACGAGGAAAAACGCTCAGTTTCTATGGTAAGAAACTCACTGGAAGTTCTGAACAGGTGGCGATTTTCGGCAGATTCTTGTTTCGTGGATGTGATTGAGCGATATTGCCGTGATGTGATGAAATTAATGGGCTATATTGCAACACATGGTTCTGTGGAAATGCTCCAAAATTCAACGATTCCACTGTTTAACAAGAATTTCACTGCGCAAAATTGGATCTAGGGATTGCAGTCTGCCAGCTGAGTGCGTCCGCAGTGAGTAAGTCTCCCCGTCGGCCTGTCCTTTCATTGATTTTCAGGTCAGACCGTCTGTCTCTGCAGTTTTTCGTCCGTGCTTCTTTCTGCACATCTGAAATTTCTTTTCCATCTTCCACATTGACTTAAGTGTTTTATCATTGAGCCGTCGGCGACCAAACTGAGACAAAGTTTTGTTTCAGCCCCTTTCGTGATGTTTTGAACATCAAAAAGATTCTTTGGAATTAAAAATGTATCCTACGGTAATGATCAAACGATCTAATTTCTTGCTCAGTTAGGGAGCCGCCATTTCTCCAATTAATTCTTCAGTTCTTTTGTGGCCATTTTGAAAGAACTATCTTCACGACGGGGAAAGAAGCCATTTCACGATAGGTGCAGTGCTGTGATTGGCTAGTTCAGAGCTATATGCACGCGCGATTCACTGTACGCAACTACACTGAATTGACACCAAACCAGCCAATGAAACACGTTTGAATGCAATCAGCTTTCGTTTTCTCATAAAAGACAAATAAATATCTAACTTTAGGCTTGAGCAAAATGCACACAAGAATATTACTTCATCACGTTTGCGTCATAAACTCTGGCTCTGGATATCCACGCTCTGGTACTGGATTCACTGTGAGTAAACGTGAGGGAAAAAATTTAATTTACTCGCGGTCCATCGAAAAGAGACTTAAAATAGGTTTTGCATGCAGTTGATTTGGTGTGCTTGTTCAACCATCTGCTTCTATAACACTGTTTTAGCCGAACCAACATTTACTATATAGCTCCTTACAAAATAACAGTCAAAGTTCTAGCAGATTTCTCAATGCTTTACTGAAATATTAGTGCTTTTCTCTCAATTTGAGGTAAATATAAACTTCAAATTATTCTTTTTCATGGCGGTTGTCAGTAGTTGGGTCAAAAATACATGCGGTTGGTTTAAAGAGAAACTTTTCCTTATCAAACATAAACTGATTTTCGAATGCTTTTTAAAAGAGAACAGCTTCTGTTTTGTTTGAGATATTTACCGAGTAAATGGAAAGTTTTTTTGCATTATCCATTTGAATCTTTTGATGTATCTCTTTCATTATTTGAAAAAGATTTATGCCATTAAAACGTCAAGTGAAATAACACTACGTTTATGCAATGAAGTATAGTTGTTGATAACGACTATCGTTCACGGATTGTACCAGATTCTATGGATAGAAAACTGAGAAAGGAGATAAAGCACTATTCTGTCTTCAATGATCTTGGATCGGTTTTTAGTAAACTATCTCTAACAGCAAACAATGAAGAATTAAGCCGGTCACCACATACAGAATCACCAGCTGTTTTGTCCCTGAGTAAAAATAGGGACCTTAAGCAACCACGACGGCGACGGCAACGAGGACGTGGAAAAACAAGAGATCTAATTGGCAGAACAATAGCTCAGCACGTGCATTTTGAAACTTTGTACATCTCTTAGCCGTCCTATGCAAAACAACAACGTGAAATCGCCAAAATTTGCGCCGTCTGCGAACCGAAACCGCGACGGCAAATTATTTTAATTTCCATTTGGAACTCAACGCTGCTTTTATACGTCATGTTGAAGTTGAGCTGGGGTGTCGTATGAGACAGTAAGCTCCTGCAGCCATTTTTAAAATTCTAACTAAGAGTAGAAATTCATTTTTTAATCGAAGTCTTCCTTGGCGTCGCCGTCCTGACTGCTTAAGGTCCCTAATTACTAGTTTACTGCGGGGATCAGAGAGAAGGTGCATTTCTAACGCGTGTGTTCATCACCATGACAATCCATAAAGGTTTGGTCTGCTAAGGAAATTTCAAGCTCAGTTTTCTTTATGATTATTGATTATGCTCTTATTGGATCAAGCACCTTAACAATCTCAAGATCGGTCTTCGTGATTGTTCCGTACTTACCCGATTATACTTTTCTTGTACTCAACACCTTGGCAATCTCAAATTCGGTGTTCTTCGCGAACACTCGGCTCAGTTTTCGTAAATGCTCGGTATTTTCTCGACTTTACTTATCTTGGACTAAAAAACTTAAACTAAGCCGAGCTTGGTTTTCCTCGTTAGTACTCGGTATTTCCTCGGGTATTTTCGCGATTATACTCGACTTTCCCAGTCAAACTGATCTTAATTACATCTATGATTTCATGATTTCAATTTGGTTTGGTTTCACTGAAAAATAATATGTCATGTCAATTCCACAAATTGGTTTGTGCTACGATAGATTTTGAAATACGTGTGCAAACTTTCTAATTTTATTTTAAGATGTTGGAAAACCTATCTGGTGGAGTCTCACAATAATTACTAATAAAGTCTGGTAACCAACAAGCTTTTACAGCAGGTAATCAAGTGATCGTAAAATTGTGAGACTCGTAATTTGCTGAAAATATTGCTTTTCCTCTCTATTCCCTCAAACCAGTCCGATAAAAAACCAAAATTTCTTACTTATCTTCAAGAAAATGTCTTGCAGTTACAAAGGAGAACTACCCGTGTGAAGTGTGATCTCTCAGGAAAGAGTGAGTTGACCATATTTGGAGTTCTTCGTATTCACGTCACCCTCAGTGCCAAAAGGCCTACGATGGTGATCAGATTGATAACGCATGAGAGTTAATGTTTTAGCAGATTGTACCGCTCTTCACCAAGGTGTTTTTGATTTCATTAATGTGAACTGAAAATTTTCCACCTGCAGTGTGGTAGAGTGGTACTTAAAACAGACCAAACAGTAAACATACTATGGCATTGGGAGAATTCTGTGGTCTTTGTTTTCAGTTTCATCTAAAATCTTTGTGCTATGTTTTTTGTTTAGTTCTGTGTAGTACAGAAGGGTTGAAAACATATTTAGTCTCTGGGATTTAGTTTACATTTTGCTTAACATGTCAAGTGCAGCTATTGAAATTACTATTCAATTTAACAATCATGATTTGGGCGTTAAAAAAAACGCGTTTCGTCTCTTTCGGTTTGCTTTTGAAAGTTCTTTCAATGTACTTGCGTAATTTTGTTGTGTGCAGTTTAGAATAGCCTTCAGACTCTCCTATACAAGTTGAAATTTATTAAACTTTTTTAATGAGGCCACATTGTTATTGTAATTTCATTTACATTGATTTTGCACTCGACATAGTTCTCTAAAAATCAGTTTTGAAGGAAATGTTCACTATTTTGCATACACAAACCAACCCATAGTAACAGCGGAAGCTGGTGATATTCACCTTGCAACTCCATATAGGAAATGTTCGCAGTTATACGTTTACAACCTGCTGTTTTATTTGGGGATGAAACCATCGAAAACACGAGGACATTAAAGATTTAGGTCGATCGACGTAAATTTGAAACCATGCAGTCTTCAATTTCAGTTGTATGAAGGCTAACAAGGACATAGTTCGTTTGATAGAGTTCTGTATTTCTTAATTTCTTTTGCAGCTGCGAGGACGCATTTAAAGATTCTCATTTATCAGCGTTGTCAACAATGGCTAGATGGGCAAAAATTCGGTTTGGTTTTGGTTTCTTATTGTTCCTTTCTGCTGTTTCCTTGGGTTTATTTTTCGCGTTTCTCGAAATGTCAATGCACCGACACATTGTCCTGAGCCAGGATCTATTTGGTGCTTCGAAAAGGTTATTTTCATTGACAGAGCCAATGACCACATTGCAGGCTCATGTGGAGTCGACAGATAAGCCTCAAGCGAGGAAGCAACGGATCGTGGTGATTGTTGCCCATGGCAGATCTGGTTCTACATTTCTGGCCAGCATTTTCGACCAACATCCACGAGTATTTTACGTGTTTGAACCACTTCATGGAACTCGAAAAACTCAACTGAAGGATTATGATAAAATTGCAACCAACCTTCTTTACCACATTTTCAAGTGCGACTTTAGTGTGGGAAATTCAATTCGGGATATCGGTACATTTTTTCGATTTTATAGCCGAGCGTTGAGCTCTCCACCGTTTTGTACGTTTAGTCGAGGAGATCCAAGATGGCAAAGAAAAGGTTGTTTAACAGTAACACAGGAAAACCTTGAGCTTTCGTGCAAAGTTCAACATGATACTATCGTTTATAAGCTTCTCTTGGAAAGGATTCCTGGCCAGTCAATTGGGAAACTTTTTGAAACTTGCGAATTGGCGGGGGTAGAGTGCAAAATTATATATTTGATCCGTGATATAAGACCTGTTGTAATGTCCTCTCAGAAGGTATCCTTTTTCAAAGAAAAGGATAGAAAGGAAAAGTCCTCTATGAGACAATTTGTCCATTCTCTTTGTCAGATGACTGAGACAAATCTTCATCTGGTAAGAAATCTTCCGTTATCGCTTCGCAGCCGTGTGAGACTGGTGCGGTACGAAGACTTAGCAGTTAGTCCGCTGGACGTGTTACAATCTTTGTATGAGTATGCTGGACTTGAAATGTTGGAAAGTATTAAAAAATGGATTGTCAATATAACACATCCTAGCACTAAAGAGTTAAGAGCGGAGAAACGAAATCCTATGTCTTTTATAAGAAACTCTTTGGAAATTCTGGACAAGTGGCGACGTTTAACAGATTCATGTTACGTGAACGTGATTGAACGTTATTGCCGTGATGTGATGACATCAATGGGCTACATCGCAACAGAAGGTTCAGTAGAAGTGCTTAGAAATCTTACAATACCACTTTTTATTGAGAATTACCCGGCAAAGTATTGGATCGAGGAATGAAAGTACAACGTAAACCTCTGTTGATCTTCTGTGTGTTAGCTCTCCGTGTTCGATTCTCTGTCCGCGGCCTTTATAACTATGACTTAAAAACTACAATCTATTAAGAAGAAATCTTAAAGTAAGTTAATAATATTATACAATAGAAGAATAAAAGCTATTTAAGGTAGTGGCCTGCTTAGCCTCAACTGACAGACTGTTCCATGCTGCTGCACCCCTATAACGAAAACTCTTTTTGAGGGCCTCAGTATTCGGCCGCGGAATAAACAAGTTGTGTTGGGTGCCCCGTAAATTATGCTTGTGGATGGTATTTACGCTGGTGAATTTGTCAGACAGGTATTCGGGTACAAGGTTATTAGCAGTTTTAAACATTAAATATTTCAATTGTTTTGCACGTCTGTCAATGAGGCTTTCCCATTTGAGGGCACGAAGAATCTGGGTAGATCTGACATCCCAACCAGACCCTGTTATTAAACACACAGTTTGGGAAAAAAATGGATTGTGACCGACAGGAAATCAGTGTGACCGACAGAAGGACAGAGGGACGCACAATCAAACGCACAGTCTAACACACAGATAGAAAGAAAGACAAAGGGACGCATAATCAGACGCAGAGTCAGTGAAAGACAGAAGAACAGAAGGACGCACTTTCCTCTTTCCCTCTTTCCTTCTGTCTGTCAGACTGTGCGTCTGATTGCGCGTCCCTCTGTCCTTCTGTCTGTCAGACTGCGCGTCTGATTGCGCGTCCTTCTGTCTGTCAGACTGTGCGTCTGATTGCGCGTCCCTCTGTCCTGTCTGTCAGACTGTGCGTCTGATTGCGTGTCCCTCTTCTGTCTGTCAGACTGTACGTCTGATTGCGCATCCCTCTTTCCTTCTGTCGGTCACACTGCGTCTGATTACGCATCCCTCTGTCCTTCTGTCTGTCAGACTGTGCGTCTGATTGCGCGTCCCTCTGTCCTTCTGTCTACCAGGCTGTGCGTCTGATTGCGCGTCCCTCAGTCCTTCTGTCTGTCAGACTGTGCATCTGATTGCGCGTCCCTCTGTCCTTCTGTCTGTCAGACTGTGCATCTGATTGCGCGTCCCTCTGTCCTTCTGTCTATCAGACTGCGTCTGATTGCGCGTCCCTCTGTGCTTCTGTCTGTCAGACTATGCGTCTGATTGCGCGTCCCTCTTTCCTTCAATCTGTCACACTGTGTCTGATTACGTGTCCCTCTTTTCCTCTGTCTGTCAGACTGTGCGTCTGATTGCGCGTCCCTCTGTCCTTCTGTCTGTCAGACTGTGCGTCTGATTGCGCGTCCTTCTGTCTGTCAGACTGTGCGTCTGATTGCGCGTCCCTCTGTCCTGTTTGTCAGGCTGTGCGTGATTGTGCGTCCTTCTGTTCTTCTGTCTATCTGTCTGTCAGACTCTGCGTCTGATTATGGGTCCCTTTGTCCCTCTTTCTATCTGTGTGTTAGACTGTGCGTTTGATTGTGCGTCCCTCTGTCCTTCTGTCTGTCAAACTGTGCGTTTGATTACGCCTCCCTTCCGTCCTTCTATCTGTCAGACTGTGCGTTTGATTGCGCGTCCCTCTGTCCTTCTGTTTAATTGTCTGTCAGACTGTACGTTTGATTGTCCGTCCCTCTGTCCTCCTTCTACCTGTCTGTCAGATTGCTTTTAATTACGCCTCCCTCTGTCCTGTCTATCTCTCTGTCAGACTGTGCGTTTTGATTGTATCTACTCATTGTCTATCTGTCTACCTGTAGACCTTCTGTTCAACCGTTAGATCCCTTTCGTTTGTTTTTTTACAGTTCATCTGAGTTCCCCCTCGTGTTCGTATTGTTTTTTTAACTAGCCTTAGCAATAACCAAATTCTTCTTATATTGTTATAAATCGGCATGACTTAGTCAAATGTGAATATTTTTCTCACGCCTGATGGTTGTCTATAGCACAGGTAATACACAACGTTATTTGTTGTTGCATCAAAGAGCTAAAAGCATACTTTGTCGTTGTCTCTGCGACTGTTGCAGAAATCTCACCCGGTGTATGTTCTAGCTTTACAGAACTTTGAAAACTTGTTTCTATTGATTTATAGTTTAATATAACACTTTGAAGAAATCAACCGGGCAATGCATGAATTTTTATTACTATTTTTGTTAGAAATTTTAACCTCTAATGAAATCGCTGATTTGTCTGAGAGTTTGTGTGGTCCCAACTTAAGGGTTTTTTAACACCAAACGGTATTCCAAGTGAGAAAAAAATTGATTCAACAGGTACCAGCAATTCTTGACTTGTCTGACCATCGAAACTTCACCGGCCCAAAACTAAATTTATTATTTATACCTCGGCGGACAAACAAAACGCGCCTGATAGCCTAGTCTTATTTTTTAGCTTTGTCTAGCCTATAATCTTACGGACATATTTTCTTCAGCAAAATAGTAGCAAAATGAATGATAACTCAAGGGAAAAGAGAGGACATAACCGCGGGCAGGAATGATATTTTGGAATTTGTGAGCTCTCTTGATTTCTGCTCTGTAATCTCTCGTAACGTGACAACATGGAATCACTGTATTCGTAATAATGGATTTTCACCTAAAAACCGAATCATTTCGAACACTCGTTACAGAAATTTTGTTGTGTAGGAGTTCAGTACGGCTTCAGAGACCGTCTGCTTTAAATCTGTGGATAACCTGTCACGACTTTTGGTGTAAAATCTCTGTTACCCAGGGGTGCATAAGGACAGACGGGTTCGAAAATGAACGCTCTGTTGTTCCAGTTTATACAGCCAAACAGGAAGCGTAGAGAGAAGACGCTCTTTGGTGACATGGATGAGGAAGATCCAGGTACGTAAAGATGTTATTTATCGCAAGTCTCCAAAGGTTTCTCAAGGCTTTGAACGTGTGAAAATTTCCATAAGAGAACTGGAACCGAGTGACAAACAGAAACTCACAGAGGAGGGGCGGGAAGCGTTCGCAAATTCTCCACCCTTCACATCCCGCACAGCCCTATCTTCGAAATAGTTCCTTCAAGGTAAATTTGAATTGGCACATACGATTGCCGAGAAACTAAAAGTTTCACACAAATTTGGACGACTTAGAAGAAATATTTTTGAGGTTACAAATTATAATCCCTTTTGTCTGTTGATAAACTTTGCTCTATCAGTGGCATCATGTGTCAGTAGACTAAACCGGAAACTCATTTGAATTCATTATTACTTGACAAACATCTCTATAAGCCTGAGAAAGTGGCTCGGAAGAAAACGAGGAATAGCAGAAAATGAACACATTTGATAGAAACTTTTTTTGGGCCTAAAATGTTTTTTAGGGAAAATCTTTTTATCCTGTATTACCTATGGATTAGAAGGAGTAAAACTGCTTTAAGTTTGGTTTCATAGTCACCGTTTACTTCAATTTCCTCCTGTTAAAAAGAAAAGAAAAAGAAAACGGAAAATATGAAAACCCTTTTAATTATGTCGGTTCGGTCAGACGGCTTTCACTTCGTTTTCTCATTGATAGCTATCTTCAAGCTCCATTAATCACAGTACCATTTTTATGTTAATTTTGAGCTTTAAGCTTCATACAATCTGCTCCTCGCCCACGCTTAAGAATATATTATGCTAAGCTAGGCTCGATCTTTCGCGAATGAATTGGTACAAACAGACAGAATATTTCAGACAGTGAATATTTCATTTTAACCAGGCATCTTTCGACGTTGCGTTTTCAAAATATTAATAGATATTTATTTGGAAATCGTACAACAAAACAACAAAACAATAAACATTGAACATCTCCGTTCAAGAGCCGCTTTAGAATGTGCAGTCGCAGGTTTGAATGAATCAATCGTTGAAAGCAAAACAACTGTCGGGTCGAATATCAGCAAACTTGGTTCCACCGAGAGAGATTAAAAACAAATCTTACTCTGTGTGCGTAATATTTTATTATCAGACGATTTTTCATTCGAATTTTTGAATCAGACAGCCGGAGGGATTTTGATAATACATTGAAATTACATTCTTAGTACAAAAAAGTGTTTTATGTTCGTCAGTGACATTGAGTTGTTAATTATACCCTCGAAAGTAAATTACTCCGGCCTGTTCATTTAAATTTTCAACAGCAAACGATTTTATTTAGGTTTGCTACTCTTCACAATAAGATTTTCTTTTTCCAGTATCCAAAAGCCATTTAATAATATTTTTTGTCGCAACTGAGGAGTATTTTGAAACCGCTTCAGAGTTTCAATAAATAATTCGCTTAGGCTTGCGATGTCAGTTTTTTTTTCAATAGTAATTTATTCAAAACAACAGTAATTTGTCGTTAAATGCTGGTATATCCTAATCGTGAACCAGACTCAGCCAGCGATATTTCCATTTCAAAGGTTTTTTTGTTTAATGGTTACGATAGCCGAATGAACAGCTCGTTGTTGTCAGTGGCAAGGGTTCTCGGCTCTTGACAGATGTTCACGAAGAAAAAATGGGCCATGAAAAACAAATATGTAAAACCAAATAAATGTAATGAAAACACGGAGAAAATTACTCACATTCTGACCAATAGAAATTTCTCAAAAATCCAAAAATTTGTGAACCCGCTGCAGCCGATAATGTATTCTGTGGGAATTTTGTTCATCGCGTTCTGTGATTGGTCCATAAATTCTTATTGAATATTCATATTAGCTGTTCTCCGGAAGGCCAAGATGGCTCCCTCGAAAGGTGAATTTCACGAAGAACAACTGTTTTGTGGCACTTTCAGGGAATACTTCTCGACGAAAAAGACATGCTAACGTTTGGATTTATTTTCTTTGTTTTCAGATGCGGAGGTGCGAAAGAAATTGTTGGAAAACCTCAAGAAAGAGGTAAGGCGCATTTTTGTTGTCGCTCGTGAAATTTAAACGTCGAGCGATCAATCACTTGATTTTTTTTCCATAGCGCTTTTTCGCTTACTCCCAAATATACAGCTTTATTTTATTACATTATGCAGTCGTGCACTTCAAAATTTTTTGTGCTTATAATTCCTTGGCAATGCTAAGTTAAAAAGATAGAAATGCTCGTGTTTTAAAAATGTTGACCTGTTTTGTCGATTCCCAGGTCAAACAACTTATGGAAGAAGCTGTCACAAGGAAGTTTATTCACGCAGACAGCTCCAGTATAACCTCCCTTTGTGGTAAGAAGTATTGCATTTGTTTCTTACACAATTTTTCCGACTGAAGGACAATTTTAAAGATCGTAAAAACACTGGAAGTGTTTCTGTAGGCTGTATATTTTGATTGGGTATGATTTTAAAGCATTTCCTTCGCGGTCGATCCGTGGAGTGTTATATGCATGCTAAAATGGGAATTTAAAACGCGGAAGCAATTCTAGCTTCAACGCACAAACCCGCCCTTTAATTGAATTGAATTTCATAGACTCACAGAATTTTATTTCTTGATTCTGGGATCAGACTTGGTTTTCACCTGTGTCCGAAGACACGTACGGAAGTAGCAAATCGACCAGATACGCGCTTTTGCAGGCATCAAACACAAAAATCAAAACAAATAAATTCCCCGTGTGGTTTGGACGGGTGTTTCATACGACGCAGCTCACATCAAAAATAACAAAAAATGTGAGCCTTGACAGGTTGCGCTCAATGGTTTTTAATAAAAACTCTTACTACTCATTAAGATCCAAGATTTTCCTTCTAGCTGTGAACTTGTGCGTAAAATAAAAATGCGAATTAAGTACTTTATTGATTGCTCAAATAATTCAGGAGGAGTTTTCAACTACTGATGTTACGTGATATATTTTGGTTTATCTTTGGAAATTATAAAACTCTTTGTATCCACATAAAATAAATTGCTATTTCCTAATAAAATTAGCGGTGTCTCGCGACCAACAATATCGGAAATTTTATATTAATAGGCACCCCGTTGTCATTTCGTTATTCTATAGTTTTAATGTAGGATAACTTTTTGGAGTGCCTTACTTTAAACAGTCGTTTTGGTAGATATGGTTTGGAAAGCGATGAAACACCAAAAAAACCTTCACAAAGCTCGAGTTGCAAAATTCGTGAAACGGATTTTCATATCAAATCACTGTTTACACAGAGCATGAATTTATTTTTTTATCGTTGCTCACTGAAGCACGCAAAGTTTAGTTCTTGTATTTTTGCAAGTGTTGTCCTGATACGACAGTAATGGTGAACCGTTCGCTTCACTTTGTTTTCTTGATTTTGATACATGCATCTTAAATGTTATCCTCCAGTTGTATTTGTAACCAACATTAAATATTCTTAACATCAATAATATACTGTTTCAGTTTTTAAGTTTCAATTTTCAGACAGTCAAGTGGTTCATGTAAATTTTTCAGGTTTGAACTCCACATTTTTGAAATATTCTGGTAGGCAAGGAAAGTTACAGATTATATATGATAGGTAAAGATTTCCCAAAGAATTTCAAACAGCCAAAAATATCAATTCTTTCAAAAATGAAAATGAAAATGGTGACCGCAGAGAAAATGCTAGTTATTGGTAGGAGTGTTACTTAGCACTGTAAATAATTAAAATTCTCTTTTGTTGAGAGATGACATGTTCACTGTTTCACTTGTGTTAGGTTAATGGCCCTCTGTATAAATGTCACTTTGTTGGAGAGGTCAGAAGAGGAGGGGGGTTGGGGAGAGGGTAGTTTACCTCTTTCAATCTACCATAGCTTTGTGTCACACAAAGGATTTAGTGAAACCATGTAATTTTCTCTGTTTACAGCTGTTGAATCAATTCAAAACTCACTGCTCTCTAGTGTACGGAAGCCGAGAAGGGACAATCCAAAAATATTTTTCAAATCCCGAAAAATATTTCAAATCGCAATATCTATTTTAAAATCACCATCGAAAAGTTTGACAAATCCAAAGATATTTTGCAAATCAAAAAAAATATTTAGAAATCCAAAAAAATTTTTTCAAAATCCGAAAATATTTTGCGAATCCAAAAAAATATTTAGAAATCCAAAAAATTTTTTTCAAAATCCGAAAATATTTTGCGAATCCAAAAAAATATTTTGAAATCCAAAAAAATATTTTCAAAATCCAAAAATATATTTTGAAATCCCAAAAAATTTTGTGTTAAATGGGAACACTAAGAACTGTAGTACGATTGAATCAGCGCGCGTGGCGCAAGCTGAAAGCAATCAAGACAACTTAACGATCGAGACAGTGAAATAAATAGCTGTACATCTACAAAGGCGAACGATTAAAAAAAGACGCAATCCCTGATGTGTGTACTCATTTTAAATAAACTGAGACATTTCTGTATACACACTATAGTTCCTGTCACCCACAAGGAATTAAAAGAGACTTCATAATAGGGGAGACCCTTAGACTTCTAAGAACAAACTCCTCTCAAACAATATTTGAGGAGAAAATTACAAATGAAGCGCATTTGCTAAAGAGAGGCTACCGAGAGGACCTCATTAGCACAACCCTCTCAGAAGTGAATTAAAAAACAGGAAATTAGCTCTTCAACAGAAACAAAAGACGAACCAACGAGTCTTGCCTTTTGTGTTACACAATACCAACCATCAGTGCCAAACCTAAAGCAAATTCTTGTGAGACACTGGTATTTAATTGAAACACAACCACTACTTAACGAAATATACAAAAATCCGTTTCTCGTATCTTACAAAAGAGGACGGTCGCCCAAAGACATACTCAATGGGGCCAAACTTTGAATAGGCTACTCTAAACACGTGCTGGGGAGTCGTGTAGGCCTGTCAACCCCATTTTACAACAATTTCTCGTCTAACTATTTCCCGAACAGTGTGTTCTGAATGAAGGTGGTTTCTTTGTAACCCATAGTGACGTAGCCTTCTCTTCAAAGTCCTCACATTCATTGAAATCCCATGGTATTCTGCCAGAAAATGAACAATGGTCTCGTAACGAAATCCCTCATTAAAGTAATGTTCTATAGCCAGTCTTTCGTCTCCCGAGCTGGACAACACACTTTCCTCTTCACGCCATTTTAGTGTTCCACAACAACGGCAGAATGTTTCATTGTTCCCACATTCTCTTCCACATTTATGACAGAACATGCTCTATTCTTGTTCCTTCGCCATTTTGTATGTGGGATGATGCGGGATATGGCAAGAAAACGCTGGATGACTGCTGGCGCAAAGAGCACGTGACAAAATATTTTTTTGGATTTGCAAAATATTTTCAGATTTTGAACAAATTATTTTGGATTTCAAAATATTTTTTTGGATTTCAAAATATTTTTTTGGATTCGCAAAATATTTTCGGATTTTGAAAAAATTTTTTTGGATTTCTAAATATTTTTTTGGATTTGCAAAATATCTTTGGATTTGTCCAACTTTTCGACAGTGAGTTTAAAATAAATATTGCGATTTGAAATATTTTTCGGGACTTGAAAAATATTTTTGGATCGTCCCCTTTCGGCTTCCGCACTAGTATGCTGGGTATCACAAAGTGTTTTTTATATCTGTCTGTGGCATGACCCATAATGTCATTACCACTTAATAACTTGATAATGTATAAACATGGTTCTTGGGAAAATCAAATTAAAATTTAACCTTCTAACTCCTAGATGTGATTAACATGTAACTTCTCCCATTACTTAAACTTATCAGGTAGAATTAGTCATCTTGATCTAACACCAAATTCTTGTCTCTAATTTACAAGGAGGTGTGTAGCAGCTAGAGGAAAGAATTAACAATCAGATTGTGATAGTTAACGGGTTAATAGTGGATTGATTGACCTAAACTGAGGGTGTTTTCTCAGGGCTTTAAAATGGTTTGAGCAGATTTTTTCAGTTTAGTTGTCTTTGACATTTTTGAAGGTGCTGTAGAGGCAGGCATTGCACATGGCTTGAAGAAAAGAGCGGCTGGTCTTCTTCCTGCTCAGGACACCCAGGCTGTTTTGGAAAAGCTTGCTCGTTTATCAGAACCTGCTGCTGAACTGGTTAAAAAACTCTCTGGGGAAGAAGAGAAGAACAAGGATGGGACAAAGAACACATCAGCAGGTATTTCATTGAATGATAGTTGCAGATTTGTTGGATGACCTTTAAACTAGCAAAAAGGCCTAAAGATGGGAAAATGCAAGTCAAGATAAGTTTTTAGTAAAATTACATCTGATTGGTTGAAAGTGTGGTGGGACTTCCTTATATCAGTCATAGAACTAAATACACAACAAGGCAAAGCTTATGCAATGATCCCACATTTTTTTTGATACTCAGTTAAAATTTTTCCAGCTTGCAGAATTTTTTTATCTCACCAGGTTCTGCAGAAAGCCCATTACTCAAGTTGAAATTCAACTTTTCTACATTGAATGGTAGCAGTAGGAAAATAAATGGATATAACATCAGTGGCCACTGTGGCAAGTTTTTATGGATTAGAATAGCTCTTTTGGAAAAATTGCTGGGAAAGATTGTGGAGGATCTGCAAAATAATGCAAGGTGAGGGGAGAAGGGTGGTTTGAAATAACATCAAACACTACACACAGTACCACACAGGTCTGTTTTTATTGGTTGCAACAGTGCAATTATTAGAGGCATGTATACGAGTGTGTGCAATTAAAAAGCTTTTAAGGAAAAAAACTGTTGTTGCATTAATTGATTTTTAATTTATTAGTCAGTGCATATGTTCATGTTCCACATGTACAGTGTAGGAAGAAGGTCTGATAATTTCAATGTATCACCACAGAGCATAAGTGATGGTAGATGACGGTGAAGTTTTCTCCCAATTAAAAATGGATTTATTTGTCATTGTGGACTTACAAAAGGTAATTTGTGTGTTTTGCAGTCAATTTTATGAGCCTGAGGCACTACTTAGTGACCCAGCTGATGGAAAAATATTCATTGAACTTTTAGGTAAGCAAAATACAATGAGCTTGCAAGGATTTCTTTTCCTTGGATTAATGCTTTGTTAACTTTTACTGTGTGACTGATTGGAGTTTTTTCTTGATGTGACTTGTTTGCTTCTAAAATATTGTTACATTTAGTTTGGATGGGATTGCAACCCAAGCATTTCATTGTCTTAGTTTAAACCAGTGTCTGAATGATAAATAAATGTTTCCTGCTGTCTTTTGAGACAGATATTTAATGATGCATTTGATGGTTTACTTCTTATAAATTACCGCTGGACCTATTTGAACTGATAAGTTTCAAACATAAATGCAGTCTGTTGGTTGTCATACATATTTTAATTTTGTAGGTGCATTCCTAATTAGATGTCCAAGTTCTGTTCCTATTTTCAAACCAAAGCTCTTATACCTTTAGAAAACACATCATTTCAGTGATCTTGTTTCTGGATTTTTCTTTTTTTTGCTAGCAATTGGTAAGTTAGAATTTATTACGTAAGGAGACAAATGAAAACCAGACAAATTTCTTCTGTTGATTTAACAGAGATAAAAAATCATATTCATATGGGGGGAGTCAGCTTCATTCATTGCACACACCTGCAATATAAATTGCCTTGTAATTCTTTGCTGTCATGATTTAAGAAGTAGAACTTTGTCGTTCATCCCCATGTATCAGTTGCTGCAAAATTAGTGATCAGAAGTTTCTGTATATTGGTGATTGCATAAAACATCTCCTTAGAGTTCCTTTGATATAATGGTGAGACAAATATGGGCATGAAAGTTTGGGCACAGTGAAATATGCTGCATTTTTATGAGTTGTCAGTTTTTGTTGTAGGTGTCTTATCTATTGTTGAGGTTAAATAAGAACATTTTCTCTTGTGGAGTGAGGTAAAAATAATGACCTTGGGCATTACACTAGTGGTGGTGGCAAATGGCAACTCTTATTTTACTCACTTTTCTTATATTCTTAAATCACTTGTTTTGGAAAAATGGCAAAAAGCCGTCTGATGTTCACATTTAATGCAAAAATCATAATTAAAAAAATGTACATAATGCAGAAACTTGCTTTTATTTTAGATGGAAAGTGAATCTCTGTGGTCAGCTTATTGTTAAAATTGGCTGACCTATCATTTGCAAATGATACTGTGTCAAGCTGATTATTTTGTGAACGAATATTTTTTTAGTTACTAAAGTAAATGCTTTATATTAAGTTGTAGCCTGCTTGAAAACTGTTATGAAGAGAGCATGTTAGTTTAAAATGATCAAAACGATCTTATATATACAGCTGGACAGGTGTATAGTCCCTGGTAACTTCAAATGGTGTGGTTGCATGTTTTGTGACTTATCAATCAACCTTGCTCTGTTATGCAAATGTAGTTATGCAAATGCAAATGCAAATTATAATTCTCCCTATGACTCTCTACTTAGCAAAGTTAACTCCAAATCTCTATATAAAAGATGCCTTCAGCTAGACTTTCTTAATTATATTGTACAAGAGCTTGTTTTTTAACTGCTATCCAGGCCATCTAAGGAATATGTTTAGTTTCCAGTCTGCATGATCCCGGTCTGCATGATCCCATATAATCTATGCGGAAATTATATTTTGTCTCTACCGTCTACAAAAACTACTACTTGTGGTTTTCACTCCTTTCATATATGGCTTCAAAACTATGGAACTCTCTTTCGAAATCTTAGAACGTCTGACTTTTCTGATTTCAAGCGCAAGATTCTACAGCATGACTCTTTCTCATAGTTAAATTTTAGAATGTCACAATTTTACACTTTAGTAGTATTTAGAATTGTACTTGTAACTCCAAGATTTAACAATTGGTTCATGCTTTAGCGTGCACTATCGAGTTATGGAGCACGTGGGAAGTTTGGAGAGCACGAAAGAAACGTAAGAGTTAAATTAAAATCTGTGCGAAAAACAGACAACAATATCAGTTGAAGCGAATCGTGATGGCACTGATGCTGAGTCTCCTTTTCCTTTGTTTTTCTCTTTTTCTGCCTCATTTAAGAACTCTAGCCCAAGGGAAAAGGTCGAAACGTTGTCTTTGTTTTCAGACTAGTAGGCCGAGTTTCTGTTTGTATCCATTATTGTCGCGAAATGTATTATTTTTCCCCTCGCTAACAATGGCGGCTCACAGGAGAAAAAACATTTTTGGCGAAGTCGGATTTGCTGACGCTATCAGCGTGCACTATCGGGATTTTGAGCATGCTTACGTATAATGAATTTGATTGCGCGACTCTGCTAGCTATGTTCTAAACTAGCTTATACTTTAGCTACTCCAAACTTGAGATTAAATAAAGTATAATTAGGTATGTATGTATGTATGTAGTGGGATTTAGTAAGTAACTTGACCTGGCCTAGGAAAAATTCAAATTATTTGAATTGTGCCAAGTTACTGGAGGATGGGATGAAAAACTGAGACAAATCATTAATTAAAAGAGATACTAGGAAAAAGTCCAGTGTTTCCCTGACAAGTTTGTGAAAATGAAACATCTGAAAAAAAAAAAATGAAAAAAAATTTCCTGTATTATGAGAAAAAGTGTTCAGGTTGGGATTATATGAACAGATAATGTACTGAGCAAAACCAGCGGAAATCATGATTGTTTCTTCAACTGCAAGGGAGAATCAAATTCAGGATTGTAGTCTAGCAGTGCCTGGTGGCCCCTAGCACCTTACTTTCACTCTTGGGCAACTTGGGAATTTTAGTTTTTTTCATATAAAAGCATATGCCGGGCACCCTGTAGTTCAAAGTTTCAGAGCAGTGGGCTCCCTTCACTTTTTCGGGGAGCACAGCCTTGAAATTTATTTACCAAAGATTAAGTTACTGATAGTCAGCTGCAACTTGAATTAATTAGTCACGTTTGAGTTGAATGTTAACATATTTTTTCTTATTCATTTCTTTTTATGGTTTTTACCATTGTCTTGTTCCAAAAGATCATTACAATTTGATTAGTTAACTCTTCCGATGTTAAGGGATCATGGAAGTGTTTTGGCCTTGAAAACATAGCAGTTTTGATTGGGATTATTGTTATCTTGGCTACTTGTGTTTTAAATGTAGTATTACATAGAAAACAAAGTGAACTAAGTCTTGATATTTTAAGAAATAAAAATTGGTGTTCAAAAATTCATCAAATAGCCTGGGATAAATTAATGTCACTGTGTGACAGTCGAGTACCATAATCAATTCCTTTATTACCCTGACCTTCGAGAGGTTCTTTGAAAATGTGAGTCTTTAAATTTGTATCGTTTATTAAAAGACAAAGAAGTGAAAATAATGTTTTTATTGAAGACATGAATTTTTTTCAGCTGTTGCTAAGCTTAGAAATAGAAATATCCTATTATAGAAGATGTGTGACATATGCTTGCAATATGACATTGTAATTTGAATGTGTTAATTGTTTTAATTGTGTTTTGCAGATTAAATTTCTCATACATATTCAAGCTTTGAATTTCCAAAGAAATGTTTTTCAAAAATACAAAATTGGTTGTAAACTAAAGCTTTTCATAACTTTATGCAGTGGTTCATCAAATTTATGCAGTGGTTCATCAATAACAAAATTTTATTACATGTGCTTCCAACAAACAGATGATCTGTAAACCAGACATTTCATGAACACAGTTATAGTTAATTGTTGTCAAATAATTTTTAGTATGTATGATATATGCACTGTAATTTGATAAAGAGTGGCTAGCTTTTTCTTTTTGTGGCTTGAAATTCAAATAGGGGATTATAATAAAGCCTCAGACACCTGCTGCTTAGTATAGTGTTTATTATATTGTAGTTAAATAGAAACTTTGGGAATGCAGTAGTTATTATCATTAGTTATTTTTATTAGTCAGATGTAAGTACATGTACACCAATTTTATACATGGCAAATCTTGAAGTTGAATTTCAGAAAGGTACTTTATCATTAATGTGACAGACATCTGCTTCTTTCTATTTTAACTTTCTTTGCTTAACCAAGCAGCCTGTTTTAAACTGTTATGTTTCTATTTAATTTACCCACAGATGGTCCAAGTGCTTTGGACTTTTCAAAGATGAAAACACCAGATAGTTACTGGACGGATCCAACAGCAGATGAGCTTGTTCAAAGGCACAGAATACACAGTGGGTTATGTCAGCAGTCACCTACTACACCAACATCTCAGCGACCACAGCTGGGAGTAACAAAAGCCTCTTATGATGAAAACCTAGCGGTGGCTCCACTATTAGCAAGAGAGCACATAGAGTCTCTTCACCAGAACTCACATGCTGCCCTCCTGTATGGGAAAAACAATGTTTACCTTGAGCCAGTGAGTATATATTTAACAATTATTCGCTGAAGGCGAGGTGAATATCGTAGAATAATCCCCGAGACGAAGTCGAGGGGATTATTCAACAATATTCACCGAACCTGAGGCGAATAATTATTTTAGTATAATTTCAGAGCTGAACAACTGAGAAATCTCTAAAATCATAACATTTTAGTAACATTTATTAACATTTTAGTTGAACATTTTATATAAACCGCGTGGAGCGGTTTATATAGCGTCATATAAGGAACCGCTCGACCAATCAGATTGCTGGAAACTCTTTGCTCAGTTCTGAAATTATACTAAATATATATATATTGCTCCTGAATTTTAAGATGGATTCTACTCCATGGCTTTGCAAGTTTTATTTTTTCAAGATGTTTATGTTAGCTTGGAGTTCTTCATTATGAACGGCAGTTGAATTTGGCCATTAATCCTGATACTGGAGAATAATTTGACTGATTTATGTGACTTGATTGACTTGATTCCAAGTTGTATACTGTGTACAATCTGTACACAGAAACAGTGTGCAAGTTATGGCTCATCAAATTGGTTAGAGTGACTTTTAATTTATTTAAATGTAAATTTTATGTATGTAATTTGACCAAAGAAAAATTTTTTTTTGCTCAGTATTTGTGTTTCTGTCTCCTTTCACAGCATGAAGAACACCCCATCGCTGGATACTTGTCATTACATAAAAGCAATGAGAGTTTGCTTCTGAAATGGACACCTAATAAGTTGATGAGTGGTTCATGTGAGCGGGAGAAGAGTCAGTTTTGGGATTATGCACTGACAGTGAACTTGAATGATGTGGTGTATATTCACTGTCATCAGCATGGTAAGGCTACACGACAAACTCTTTTTATAGCTAACTCCATTATTACTTTAACCTCTTTGAACCCCAAGAGTGACCACCATCAAATTTCTTCTTGCTGTACAGTAATACCTTTGAATGATTCAAAGGTATTACTGTACAGCCTGTCCCTGGCTGGACCAACACTCAGGGTCTTAAAATAATTGAGAAGAATTTGCTACCTTTCTATAACATCAAGAAATGGTGAGATATTGTAGTCTTCTCAGATAGGAATGAATAAATGGAGGTCCCGTCTCCTGCAGGGTTGGGGGTAGGAGACATTAATTTCCCACGCACAAGATTACTGTGTGATGGATGTCCTCCCCTGGGGTGGGAAGGTGAGGGCCGTATGTTAGAAAACTGTATAAGTTAATATGTTACCCTCGTTAAATAAAGATGTATGTATGTATGTATGTATGTAATGTATGATTTTCTTGCAGGTTTATGCATTGATGATGATGACGAGTATGATGATAGTGACGATGAAAATGAGACTGACAATGAGCCCACAGAAACTGACCATGATGAACTTTGACTATACTTAACAGTGTAATAGGAAAAATTACCTTTTGCACATAGAATTATCATGCAAAGTTAGTAGGTACTTGTATCAAAAGTGTATCATTTATGAATTTCCATTAAAATGGCAATAAGATTCTTTTAATTTTGGCCGACAAGTGTATATTAAGTCTTTGATTTCAAGTGATCTGCACAACCATGAGTTGCATGACCAGGGCACTGGGGAGAGGATGGGAAGAGGATATGCAAATTGTAATTGCAATTGTTGGGAACCCAGCTCATAGCACATGCTTTATGCAGTTGCAAAAAGCAATTTTCTCTATTTAAAACAAATTTTAGAATCCTAAAGATTCTGTCTGAAAGTGCTAGTTGTGAGTGGATGAGGTTGATTAACCTCAACTTTTGACTCACAACTCTTTGTATTGAGAAAGGTGACGCAATACACAGATTTTGGATCGCACAAAGTTACAGTTATTCTCTTCTTGCGCATACCCATCATGCCTTGCGCCTTGGGGGTAACCTGGATGAAAAAAATGGCGTCTTGTGCTTCGAAAAGTAAGCCTTGCCTGAAATATCCAAAAACCTACAAAGAAGTCTCTGGTTCAACAAAACCAAAATTAAAAGAGCTCTGTAGAGCTTTAACAATTGATTTTGAAAAGTCAATTGGAAAAAAAGCACTCGTAAATGGCGTTTGCAATGCTTTGAACATATCGACTTCTGGCTCTGTCAAGAGTAAACATGACACAGTCACTACGAAAAAAACTGATATTCCATCGCTTGCATGCCTACAAAAGCTGAAAGACTGGCAGAAAAGCTTAAAAGGAGTCCCTCTGATGATGGAGGAGTGGATTGTAAAAGAATTCTTGATAGGATCTGGCTACAAACAGCAAGCTGTTCGGAAATATAAGACGCTTCGCTCGTGGGAACACAAGCAAGGAATTCACTCTGTAAAGTAAGTCAATCCTT